ATCCTCCTGTCTCGTAATACTCTGCCTAGCTTTTGGAATGCGTCTTTGGCCATCCCAATACGTCTTCGAATCTCAGCGTCGCACTTACCGTCCTCTGTCAAAACACTTCCCAGATATTTAAATTTCCTCCCCTGCTTGATTTTAGTGTCCCCGACCTGTATCTCGTAGTAGTTCAGGACTCTTTTCTTTATTACCAACGAAATCCTTCTGTCTCGTAATACTCTGACTAGCTTTTGGAATTTCCCAATACGTCTTCGAATCTACGTCCAACTTCCCAGATATTTAAACTTCCGCACCTGAAAATGTTACCAACGAAATCCTTCTGTCTGCCTAGCTTTTGGAATGCGTCTTTGGTCATCCAATACGTCTTCGAATCTTCTGCCGTCCTCTGTCAAAACACTTCCCAGATATTTAAACTTCCGCACCTGCTTGATTTTAGTGTCCCTGACCTGTATACGTAGTTCAGGACTTTGTTACCAACGAAATCCTTCTGTCTCGTCTGTCTAGCTTTTGGAATGCGTCGTCATCCCAATACGTCTTCGGATCTCAACTTACCGTCCTCTGTCAAAACACTTCCCAGATATTTAAACTTCCTCCCCTTGCCCCGTAGTAGTTGCTTGAAATTTTAGTAGCTTTTCCCCCGACCTGTCGCACTTCGTCCCTGTCAAAACACTTCCCAGATAGTTCTGAACTGGTAGTTCAGGACTCTTTTCTTTGTTACCAACGAAATCCTTCTGTCTCGTAATACTCTGTCTAGCTTTTGGAATGCGTCATTGGTCATCCCAATACGTCTTCGAATCTCAGCGTCGCACTTACCGTCCTCTGTCAAAACACTTCCCAGATATTTAAACTTCCGCCCCTGCTTGATTTTAGTGTCCCCGACCTGTATCTCGTAGTAGTTCAGACTCTTTTTCTTTGTTACAAAAGAAATCCTTCTGTCTCGTAATACTCTGCCTAGCTTTTTGGAATGCGTCTTTGGCCATCCCAATACGTCTTCGAATCTCAGCGTCGCACTTACCGTCCTCTGTCAAAACACTTCCCAGATATTTAAACTTCCGCCCCTGCTTGATTTTAGTGTCCTGTAACGGGATCAACCTTTTACTGATGACCATGCATTCCGTCTTTTCTTATGTTTAGTCCCTTCTTCTCGCTCTCCTTCGCTACCTTCTGTAAGAGGTTTTGTCATTTATTTTCCGTGTCTGCTATTATGACTGTGTCATAGGATAGCAAATACTAATTTGGCGAACACTTCACATAAAAGACTAATACAGCACCAAATTCTGATTTTCATTTCGGTGATGTCGGAGTAAAATAAGCTTAGTAAATTATTTACACTATTTATATTCAGACTTTTGTCATCACTACGGTACAATAGCCTAGTGAATTAAATCGTTGGTCCGTAAATTTGGTGACATAGTGATTGTGAGTTCAGTCTCTGTACTTGGACAAGCAATGACTGAACAGTACTAAAACAAGAACCAAACGAGATTTCCCTAGAAAGTGACCGTCCCGAGTATGACGATAAACTACATCCGCGTCCTGGGTAAGACTACGTCCAACGGCAAAGCTTCTGATCAGGAGGTTTTGAGGAGCGTGGAACCACCTCTTCATTGCTGGTGTTCCTAGGTTCACTCTGATCCGGAGTGGTAGAACCTGTTAGGGTCCCAGCTGTGAGCAAATAGTTAACGCCCAACCTGGGGTCAAAACACTATGAAAGTGAAAAAATAGTTTTCAATACCAGCAATACATTTTTGAGGAAAAAATATTATTAGCAATACATTTTTGTAAATAATTATTACCAACAATGCATTATTGCCACTGATACATTTTTTAAGAAAAAAAAAAATATTACCAGCAATACATTTTTGGAAAAAAATATTACCCGCAACAAAAATTCTTGTCGGCATTAAATAACCCATTGAGGTTGATATGCCGTAAAATAAACCAACTCAAACCAAACCTAGAAAGCTGGAAGTGTAAATTAAATAAAGGGTTCAGTTCAGAATTCACAGTAGGTTACCCAGTCAATATACAGCTGATGAAGGCCGGGGAACACAATGGCCGAAACGCAGTGATAACAACAACAAAGATGTGCACAATAGTTCGAATATAAATAGTGAAAATAATGATAATACCATATCCCATAAATTCAGACAGAAAGCTTAGTAAATATATTAATAATTGCGAGGCCATGTTTGCTGATATTTTGGGCTGACAGAGCGTTTTTATAAGAAGAGTGACATAAGAAAATAACCACCTAGTCTGGTTTTAGATAAATTTTGTGAATATCGAGTTATTAGATTGTTCGGAAAATAATGTCCGATTTTAAAATATACCTTTTGTGTCCTGATATATTACTATAATAGTCGCAGAAAAAATATATTACTCATTCGTAATGATTAAAGTGTCCTCTTTATTAATTTTATATCAAACTCCTTTAGAATTTAACTTAAAACATTATATATTAAGAAATGGACAAAGTGCGACAATTTATTTATTAAAGACATTTTTATGTTTAACATTCTTTTTATAGATACAATTTTATACAGCATTTACTTAAATACTTGTATCTATAAAAAGAACGTTAAACATAAAAATGTCTTTAAAACATTATATACCCCTGATCTTGAACAGGAAGAAGAAGAGATACGGTTACTTTTTTTTTTACATGTGTTCAAGCTTGATCATAATGCTTCTCAAGCTGCTGCCAACTCGAAGCATGAGGTGAAGGATCCACATGTGATCAGATGTTTCTGATTTCGGAAGTTCCGCAGTGGGGATACGAGTCTTGAAGATCAATGTGGTAGAGGAGGTCCATCTTCAATTGACAAGCAATATCTGAAAATACTACTCGAACAAAACCCACGTCAGATTGTCAGAATAATGTCTCAGATAGTGAATGTGAACGTTTTAATAATATCCAACCATCTCAAGAAAAATTGCAAGGTGAAGAAACTCGATAAATGTGTTCCTCATGAACTCAGTGAAAGTCAAAGAGAACGGCGTTTCGCGAAAAATTGAATTATTCATTTCTTGATCAAATAGTGACTAGGGATGAGAAATGGATCCTTTATTACAATCGTAAGCGACCAGCTCAATGACTCGATCATGACGAATGACCTAAACAACTTTCAAAACCGAAATTGGACAAACAGAAAATTATGCTGACTGTCTGGTGATCTGCCATTGGAGTTATCCATGACAGGTTTTGATGGGCGAGAAATTATCTCTTAATTGTTGTAATACCCAAGTCTACCCTGACCTGAGATGATAGCACCCGTTAGGGTCCCAGCTATGGGCAAATAGTGACCCCCCCCCCAACAGGGATCAAAACAATATGAAAGCATGAAAATACATTTTTATAGTAAAAATACCAGCAATAGATTTTCATAGAAAATTTTTTTTCCAATAATAGATTTTAATAGCAATAAGAAAAGAAGCTCTCAAGAAAATTAAATTTCGGCATTAAATGACCCGTAAGAACTTGATATGCCGTTAAACAGACAAAACTAACCAAGCCACAAATTCCAGGGCATAAGCAATCACTTTTTTGTTGTTTTTCGATACGTTTCGATTATAACATCATTTCTATAGCAAAATTATTAGCAATGCATTTCCATCATATAGAACTGACATACGCTTCGCCATGCATTTCCACCGTAAAATTATTCGCATATTTCCATGTAAAAATCATTAATAGTTTATCTCCATAGTAAGATAGTTAGCAACACATTTCCATAATAAAACCATTGATATTTCAAAGTAAGCATCATGTACAATGCGTTTCCATCGTTAAATCGTTAGCAATGCATTTCCATAATAAAATGATTGATATTTCCTCGAACAAAACCACTTACAGTCCATTTTCATAGTAAGATCATTAGCAATGCATTTTCCATCATAAAAACATTGACATTCCCATGAACAAAGAACATTTAGAAATACACATGTTGCAATGCATTTCGACATTAAAAACACTAGCAACGCATTTATTTATACATATACATATGCTACATATGCTCTTTAGGCACTTCGGCGTGGTGTAATGGTTAGCGAGCTTGTCTCGCTAGAACAATTACCACTGAATAGTGAGTTCAATCCTCACTGGGTGCCCCATATTTTCGGCCTTGTGCAACAGCTAAGCTATGCTTGGAAAATCATTTGGGGTAATGGTTAGCAAACTTCTCTCGCTAGAAGAATTACGAGTGAGTTCGATCCTCACTGGGTGCGCCCTAGTTTCGGCCTTGTGCCACATCTAAGCTACGCTTAGAAAATCACTGTAATAATCCTCATCTGTAAGTAAATTTAGCCTTCATTCCCGACCACTAACAATCTCGCTTTTTTTTTCTTACTTTCAATATACAACTTGAAGATTCGGAGTTGTAACTTGCTAGAACATATTTTAATTCAATTATTTTTTAAGTACCGCCAGAAATATTTAGATATTTAATTCAGAAAAAAAAGTAAGACTGTGAAATCTGGAGTAGTGGACTGGGATGAGAAAGGCCGAAAGCCTGACAGCGTATAAGTGTGCAATCATCACTAACTTAAGACGGGATTATTTTTCTATTCCCCCCCTCCCCCAATCATGAGAACTTCCCTACACGCAAGCCACTAACCTCCCACTGAGTGGCATGCCACTAGCGTTTACCGCTGGTAGCATGCCGCTAGTGTTTACCGCTGGTGGCCCGCTGTCGGACCGCGAGCGTGTTCGTCTCGGCAATGTTAGCACAGGCGAACCGCTAGGAGACCACCGGTGGCTGCCACCAGAAGACAGCTGGCGTTGCCATCGGCGGCCCGACAGCGGGTCACTTAGCAGCTTGCTTGTAGGGTTACTGTGTTATAAGGTGAGGTCATAAATAATTTCCGGTTTTGCTCATTAACTTTATTCTTCAAAAAGTACAATTGCATTATATTCAATTATATATTCGCCATTATAAACAATAAATCGTTGCCTGTTATCAGGCAGCTCCTCACTACCTGCCTTACGACCGCATCACTTTAAAACACCACTTCCTGTACGATCACCGAAGTTAAGCAACATCGAGCCTGGTCAGTACTTAGATGGGTGACCGGTTAGGAATACCAGGTGCTGTAAGCTTAGAGGTGCGGGTGGTTTAATGGATAATGGCTCGAAATTGTTAATCGGAGAACCTAGCTTCGATTCCCATTGGCTTCGTTATATTCACTCACGCTCAAATAACCTTAGGAAAGTTATGGGTTAAATATTAAGGCTTGTATCATATAAAATAAAAAAAAATCTTACTATCTAAAAATATTTTCTGGCTTTAAATAACCCGCAAAGGTTTGATAAGTCGTAGATAAACGAAGAAATTAAACTTCTCTACCTTTTGAGTAACATTCCACAGGTTTTGATGTGAAAAAGCTTTCAACAATCTCTTGAATGTGGTTTTCCTTAGAGAAAAATGTTCCCCAATCAAAGCGTTTTGCAGTGTTCGAAGAAGCTTATGAGTAAAGAGGGTTTGGAGAATTTGACACTCACGGGACACATTGGAGGCAAGAGGGACAGAGAGAAACAATGAGTAATGTGCCTAAAGCTCGTGTTAATGGATGTCAGATCAGATAGTGGGAGGTATTGTAATGGGACAAAATTTGGTTAGAACTACAAAGGATAAGAAGTTGTAGAGAGCTATGATCATCTATGACCTGAAGAAAAAAAGTAAGTACTCGTATATGCACTAATCATTATATTGCATGCAAGTTTGTGTAAGACTATCATTTTTTAATTTTTATTTTGTGTTTCAATGTAAAATACCGTAACAATAAACTGTAATGAGGAAAGACGGCTTGGAAAATTTGATACTCACAAAACATATTGATGGCAAGAGAGAAACAATTAGTAATGTAACTTGGAAGCTTGTGTTAATTAGACAGTGGGGGTGATAGCAAGAGGTCAAATATTACTTAGAGATATAGAAGATAGGAAGTCGTGGAGAGTCATGACCGCCCACGTCCTGAAGGGATACGGCATACATTAGAAGAAGATATGTTTTGGTAATCAATGTTTGTAGCTCATCGATTCTCGGGGTTTTTTTTGCGGGCGGTTTAGCCTTATTTTATTGACCATTAAGTATTTTGCTTCACTAACCAAATTTGTCGCTGCCTGTTTCTCAGAAACATGGGGGTCGACCTCCACACAAAATTAATGATTTCTTAATTAAAAACCAAGTGTCAATTTATGCTTAAATTGCCTACTACATGAGCATGAACAGTACTTATTTGCCACGGTAGACACTCCGTTGAAAAGTATCAAATTTCGCCTCAAACGGAAAAAATATTTCCTTCTAATTTATTAGTTTTGAGTTGCTGACATTTTAAGTTGCTTACTTGTTTGTTAAAGTTATTAAGTTTAGTAAAGTTAGAAATAGGGGTTAGGGAGCGCCAAACCAAACAAAATGTGAACCAGGTCCCTGTACCTATCTATTTATCAATCCCAGTTCTTTTCTAATCTGTCTGTCGATTTCAGCCTGTCTAAAAGCCACACGTTTTATCCCGTTAGTTTTCCCCCCCTCTCTCTCTCCCTTCCTCTAACTGTTTTGATATTTATTCTGTAACATACAAAATTGTGGCAATGATTTTCTAAGCGTATCTCAGATGTGGCACAAGGCCGAAAGTATGGGACACCCAGTGAGGATCGAACTCACTATTCAGTCGTAACAAGCTTGCTGACCATTACACCACGCCGAAGTGTCCCTCCCCCTCACTGTCTTTGAGTATTGCGCGCGGCCTGAAGATATAGCTGGTGGCGACGTAAATAGTCTATTTCTGTCGATTATGGTCAGTGTTTGAGTCCTGGTGAGGGTTAGCCATTCGATATTTTTTTCCCTCTACAATTGGCACAAAGTGATTAACAAGTAGTACAATCGTATACTTTCGAAAAATGTTGTTTATATAAAATATATATGTTGAGACCACCCGTGGAGAGGTTATTGGCATGCACGAACGGCAGGATGTTGTTAAGATGTTTCTCACTAGAGGTTCCCATCTTATAGCATATCAAGGCATATTTACAGAACCATGCACTGACTAAACCACCCAGCTAAGTTCTTCCCTAAAAGATACGATGTTTACTCATTTTGGTTAGATTTTAGAAAAGGGGTTAACCCAAGAGCATTCACTCTCTCTCTCTCTCTCTCTCTCTCTATATATATATATATATATATATATATATATATACAGAGCAGCCTCGATTGTCTTGCATGTCGAACAAATTGGTTTTCGAACAGAAAAATCGACACGAAAATGCGTCGTTTGAAATTGACCAAAATTTCGGTTCTCGAACAACATTGCCGATCCGAGTCGAACCGATTTAACCCGAACGGAATCATTTCTGAGTCGACCGCCATGTTGCATACATTCGTGTGTTGTGTTGTGTTGTGCTTTTCTTTTTCAATTTTATTGTAATGTGATTTTTTTTCTCTTTATTAATCTTCAGTCATGGCTCCAAAGAAAGCTAGCTGTGAAACTGGTAAAGGAAAAAGAAAAGTTAAGAGAAAAACAATTGTTGATTGTATTGTTTCTTCTTAATAAGTTTAGTATGGCAAAATCAACGATCTGTACTATTGATATAAATAAAGAGACGATTATGTCTTTTCCTTCCCTTTTCTAAACAATAACATCTCTTTCCTTCCCCTTCCACTTACGCCATCAACTCTCATACTTAAAGGTACGCTAAAATTAAAATATTCGTCTATATTTTATCTGTTTAGTATTGGGTTTATTTATTTTTTCTTAGTTTTAATGATTTTCATTAGTTTTGTATATAAACTTGCGCACAAAGTACTGTTGATGAAGTTTAAATAAGCAATCATCGTGGGACCGGGAACAGATTAATCAATTTTACAGTGATTCCTATTGGAAGAATAGTTTCGGTTAACGAACATTTCAGGTTAAGAACGGGCTTCAGGAACGAATTAAATTCGTGAACCGATGTTCCCTATCTATCTATCTATCTATCTATCTATCTATATATATATATATATATATATATATATATATATATATATATATATATATATATATATATATATACAGGATGTAAGTCCAGGAAGACACACACACACACACACACACACACATTTGTTTATTACGTTTTACCAATTGGAAGGGATTAATTGATAGTGGGAGGGAAGGTGAGGAGGATGTAAGAGTTATTCAGGAAGAGCTCAATGTAGAAAACAGAGCATCATAATAATAATAAGAAGACGGAGACTTGAATTATTCATTTCGTTTTTATTATTTTTTATTTCGCGACCACCAGTTTGGAAAAAGAATAGTTCAAGTCATCAGAACGAAATTTTGAACTATGTAAATCCTCCGCAAATGGAGAAAGTACACCGGACGAACACATTAGATTGATAGTAGAGGGAAAGGAAATTCAAAACGAATACTAAGAACAAAGGAAAAAGAGAGATTGGAAATGATATGTGTTAGTTTGGAACACGGGTAAGTAAAGACATTTAATTTGGTAAGTCAAAAAAAAGGTAATAAATGTCTATCTAGTGGTAAACATGTATAGGGTACTACTCCTCAAAAATAGGTAAACCCTGTTACAAACCGACTACTACTAACCACATCTGTTTAACTCTTTACCCATCCCTTACTTACTAACAAAAACAGTAAGCGTTTTGGGGTGATTTTTAATTTGTTTTATGCCAAAACTTGCAGGTATATATATATATATATATATATATATATATATATATATATATATATATATAATCATTTTTTCGAAAATTATAACATAAAATATTATAAAATCACTCCAAAATACACATTTTGTTTCAACACTTTTGATGTCTTATCAAGTGATGGTGTTGAATGTAGAACCTATTGGAATTTATTCCGTATACAACAATCCTATATATATATATATATATATATATATATATATATATATGAAAAAATATAGTCTTAAGGTGTGCTATATTTATGGGATAAAGTGCTCAATATCCGAGATAGAGCGTGTGTAAATATAAAAGTGAACATAGAAGTCAATACTTAGAGGCGACAATTTTTTTCATGTTAGATGCAATCGGCAGGCCACGAGTCGTGGCCTGACGATTGCATCTAGCATGAAACAGACTGTTGCCTCTCAGTGTTGCCTTCTATGTTCAATTTTTATATATATATATATATATATATATATATATATATATATATATATATCCACAAACAATGAACTATAATAGATAACGGAAATCACATCACTTTAGGACTTTCAACGGCAGCAAGCAACAACTAAGATGAATAGCACATGTAACCCGAAAAGAAAATAGTGACATATTAAGAAGTCGACATTCCGCACTACTTCAAACAAAAGTTTAGGAAGGAAACCTCCGTCAATACTGAAAAGAGCAATAACAATGGATATATGAAATGTATTTTCCTGAATAATTGCTTTAATCGAAAGATTATATGAATTTCAATGGACGGTTAGTACTGGGTGTTCGTCAATGAATGCCGAGTGTTTCCTTTTAAGAAAACGGCTCTTTATTTTTTTTTTTTTTTTGTTCCCGTTAGTAGATGCCTACAATTTCGATTTAAAGAATATGGTTTTAATTAAAAGTTAGAACAAATTATTATTCCAAAAATGTACTAATTTCGGTAAATTTACATCCATACAACATATCACCTTTCGTTACAAAAACAAAAAACAAAAAACTACTGCTGTCACGATGTGGGATAATTAATAACAGCGTTAAAAATAAGCAATAAAAAAATAAATGAAATAGAAAGTTGAATGAACTCGGCTAAGTCAAATATCTAGTTAAACGTCTCCTTACACCGGACGTTGAAAATTTAAATTTAAAATGGAGCGTCCCTGTATCGTTAACGTATTCTATGTAAAATTTTAACAGTCATTTTTTGTATTTCACATCTCCCATTCCCATATGTATGAAACTGATTCACTCGGTTAAAACAATATTAGTTTGGTTTATTTTGTTTTACGGCATATCAAACTCAATGAGTTATTTAATGCCGACGAGATTTTTATTGCTGGTAATATTTTTTCCTTCAAAAATGTATGGCTGTTAACATATTTTTGCTTCAAAGATGTTTTGCTGATAATTTTTTCCCTTCGAAAATCTATTGCTGGTAATAATTTTGTTTTTTCAAAAATCTATTACTGGTAATAATGTATTGCTGGTAATATTTTTCTCTTTAAAACCTATTACTGATATTTTTTTTTCCTTAAAAATGTATTGCTGGTAATATTTTTCCTTCAAAAATATATTGCTGGTAACATATTATTTGCTTCAAAGATGTATTGCTGGTAATTTTTTTTCCTTCGAAAATGTATTGCTGGTAATAATTTTGTTTTTTCAAAAATCTATTATAATAATATAATGTCATAATGTATTGCTGGTAATATTTTTCCTTAAAAATTCATTAACGGTAATAATTTTTTTGACCCCAGTTTGGGGTTAACTATTTGCTCATAGTTGGGGCCCTAACAGGTGGTACCACCTTGGGTCAGGGTGGACCTAGGAACACCAGCAATCAAGAGGTGGTTTCACACTCCCCGAAACATCCTGATCAGAGGCCTTTCTGTCGGGTGTAGTTTGTCGTCTTACCCATGACGCGAATGTAGTTTATCGTCATACCCACGACGGTCAGTATTAGTCTGAAGAAGTTTGGGGACGAAACGCGTAACTTAAAAGATTTTTTTTTTTTTTTTTTGCATTTTATCGCTAGAGTACCCCGCCTCACAAAGACAGATATATGTATATATATATATATATATATATATATATATATATACAACTGGTCCGTCGTGCAAATTTTCGGGATAACAGCTGAGAGATTACTCTATTTATTGAACAATTTAGTTTATGCCACATTGACTGATAAACTCCTACAAAAAAATTCTCAAATTACCATATTAGTAAAAAACACACTGTCTTAAATTTTCAAAAAAATCAACCTTAGCGTTGCGACCGCACGCTCCGGAAGTTTTTTATCCGTTAACGATAACACATTTCTAAAAAAAACATATTTCGATTCGCATTAATCTTTCGTTTACAATGCTACCTGGATTTACTAAAAACAAAATAATTTCCATGCCTGAGGATGACTGAATGTCCAGTTGAAAGTACTAGCAGATTTAAAAAATGACCTTATACAGCTTTTAGTTATTAAAAACAAGGATCATAACATTCCTCGTGTGGTTCGTAGGTTAATGCAACTTTAAAATTTGTTTGCGAAGAGTTTTCGTCATTTTATATCATTAACTTTACTAATCTGCTTTTTGTATGAATGATTCAATATAATAATATATATATATATATATATATATATATATATATATATATATATATATATATATTGGGGTAGTAGATCATTATTCAAACATATTCTGTTACATATAACAGACCACGAAAGTTTATTATATTTGATCATGAGCTGTTCTAAACTTCGTATTGTTGCTTTAATTTCGGGAGAAAGTAAAGTCACATATTAGAAAATTATCTTTGATGGTGAATATCTTTGTTTAAATGTCTATATAACCATTCTGATGATGGCTCATGTCAGCCGAAACCTTAGATCAAAGAACAGCATAATAAAAAATATCCAAATGTTGAACAATTTTAGTCTTTATTTTCTCCCGAAATTAAAACAGTTATACGAAGGTTAGAGCGGATTATGATCAAACATAACAGACATTCGTTGTCTGTTATATTTAACAATATATGTTTAATATATATATATATATATATATATATATATATATATATATAGTGCGATGGATAAATTGTCGTCTAAATTACGCAAAAATGAAATTATGTCTCATTTTAACAAATATATTTACCAAAATACAATATTACACAAAATACAATATTACACAAAAATATCTTAAAATACTAAAGAGTAAATTTATTCAATAAAATCGTCATTGGTTTCAGCCCCGACCACCAGACGACATCGGAATCTCCTGCAACTCTTCTATACGGTCTCCTTGATTAAGTTGGTGAATGCTGCCATAATCCTTGCATTCAGTTAATAATTTGTTTTACGGAGAGTTTTGTTGGTCTATCGCTCAACTGTGCCCCACACATAATAATCAAGGTGGTTGTCGTCTGGGGAGTTAGGTGGCTAGATGTAAGGGGTGATGTAGTCGCAGAAATTGTCTAACAATCATGACGAAGATCTTCTGTTTGTGTGATACTGTGCAGTGTCATGTTGTCAGACATACTGTCTTTCAGCAGTTAACCTCTTCACCAAGGCCAGCACGACTTTCTCAGTGCACTTGATGTAGTTCTGAGTCTGAAGACCTCGCCAATAAATTCGGGAGTAATTTTCATTATTAGAATGAGGGAGATTTCTGAGCTGCCGTACCTTCGTAATCACCATTAGACTGTTCCAACTCTTTTCGAATCCTCTGCACTATCCTCAAATTGACAATTCAAACATCCTGAAATGATCGTATTGTAGCTTCCGTCGTAAATGCCAAGCAGTACAGCATGCCGTTTCCAAGTTTCTAGAGGAGTGAATGGCGTCATGGTGCTCCTTTTCCCACAGATGGTGCCCAACTGACCCTGCGCAGACGGCAAAATCAAAAACAAACAAAGCGCATGCGCGAAATTAAAATATAAAATGGCGACAATTAATCTATCGCACCCTGTATATATATATATGTGTGTATGTGTATTTAGGCAGCATATCTTCATTCAAACATTTTTCATTGAATAATAAAGACATATGTATATTCATTTTTAAACTAATTCTTTCCAGTTCTTCCTGTTAAGATGAATTTCTTTCAACCAATCTTCTACAAACGGTCAGTTATGTGCCATGCGTGATATACGCTTAAGCGATCATGTATCTTTCGTCATGACTGACGCAGTAGGTTGTCATTCTTTCTGCTGTAACCAGTTGCTATCCAAGGCTATAGAACCCGGTCTGTTCTGATATTTACTCACAGGAGAGAAGAATAGTATTCATACCTTTCCCAAGGGTATTAGCACGAAAGTGAATGTAATGGGTTCGATTGGAATTCGAACTCGGCTCTCCGATTCCTCAATCCGAGCCGCTATCCATTACTCTGTGCCTCATAATATACTACACCAGGAATATAATAAACAAAACTTTTTGGGGCCCTGTATCACAAAAACAACCAACCAACACCCAACAAAATTTAGTGAAGTGATATAACAAGCATTTAATGCCATTTTGCATGCTACCAATTTCTGGTTAGCTCCATTACATTTGGACGCTTGTTTTTCAAAAAATTCTATAGCTACAACAGATAAATTTAATATTTTCAAGTAATTATAACAGAGCTCGTTTACGCTCTTTCCCCCCACCCAAAAAAAATCATCATTACAATGAAATGCAGATTTTATCACAGTTAAAATAAGTTTGTCTTTGTAATTGACCCTGAGGATGACCTTGGAGCAGATTGAAAGTACTTGGGTAAGAAAAAACTACGGCGCTTTCCTTGATCGATTTCATCTTAACATCGAGAAACTAATTAGAGAACTGGAAATGGTCTGTATAAAAATAAATAGACATATTATGTCTATATTATTCAATGAAATATATATATATATATATATATATATATATATATATATATATATATGACGTCAAACATTATAGAAATAGACAAAAGTCCGACAATTATTTTAAGAAATTTTTATGTTTATATATAAAAAAGAGAATGTATAAACATAAAAATGTCTTAAAATAATTGTCGGACTTTGTCCATTTCATAATGTGTGACGTCATTTGTTTACATTTGGATACGCATCGAGTAGATATTAATGTACGTGAGAGAATCATGGAAAATTGTAGTTTTAAAAACTGTAAAATCGACCTTGCTAATCGAAACGTTCCTCAGTATGACGGTTCCGCATAGGATACAGGTTCGAATCCAGTCGGAGGACGCATATTTTCTATGACAATTTCTCGGACATTCAGGCCGGTAAATGTTGTTAATACTGTTTATTATAAAAAAGAGCATTTACTTAAATATTTGTATTTATAAAAAAGAATGTATAAACAGAAAAGTGTCTTAAAATCTATCTATCTATCTATCTATCTATCTATCAATCTCTCTCTCTCTCTCTCTCTATATATATATATATATATATATATATATATATATATATGCCATTGTTTAATACCTACACTGATTCTACCTAACACACTCACGTAATTCCTTCTCTTGGTGCATGCATACCTTGTTATTATGGAATTTTGTGTGTGAATGGACGTGTTTGATGCTCTTATGTAGATATGAATCAAGTGTGCGTGTCAAACTTGTCTATCATCCATTCCTTGTTTTTTTTTTCTTCCTCCGCACAAAATTTCATGTTTGACATCCATTTATTATTCACTTGCCATTCTTTCTTTTTTTCGCTCCGTCATTTCTCTTGTCTGTCCCGTCTAAATTGTTGTACATCATGAACGTGTCATATTTTGTAAATAGATTGCATTCTGGCCATCACATCACAGTACGTATCCCTTCTGTTCCAGTGATCTGCATTTGCTTATTGACATCGACCCCACATCATACTATAAATATAATATCATCCAAAATGGCGTCACTTCCGCCTTTCTTAAGGGAACTGACAAAAAAGCATTATTTAACACCAACGGTTATTCATTCCCGACAACTTCGTTAATTCACTTTTTGTATCATTATCTGTCTTTAAAATTTTATCTTTTACTCAATAATATTGTCTCTCTTGTTTATCTCTTATATTTCTGTCTTTCTCAATAATCACGTCTCTCTTTCTTACTTCACACACTCTCTTCCACCAAATCGTCTCTCGTTTTCTTATCTTCCTCTTTCGTTTTCAATAATCATATCTCTATCTTTAAAACGTTATATTTTTTCTCAATAATCATATCACTCTTTTATATCTTTCTCTTTCTCAATGATCTTCTCTTTCTTATCTCTCACTTTCTCTTTCCCAGTAACCATATCTCAATTTCTTATCTCTCTCTCTCTCTCTCTCTCTCTCTCCCTTTCTTTCTCTATAATCGCCGCTCTCTTTCTAACATGCATAACAGGACGAGGCAACACTGCTAACCTTGCTCTGTCTCAGACGGCAAACCTTTGCTAAGGTTAGCTTAAACTTAAGCAAGACTAAAATAATTGAGGGCCCAATGACGATCGTCATTTCTACACATAAAACGACCCCAAAGGAAATCTTAATTTACTCAGCTTAGCCTCGCACAGCGCTTCTTAATCTATGGTTCGCAACACCAAATTGGGTCGCGAAACGAAATGCTGGGGTCGCGAAAATTAAATTCAGACACTTCAATTTCAGTTTCTATGTTATTTCGCAAACGCACAATATTTAGTGTGATGCGACACGCAAGCTCTGCGGTAATAAAATGCGTGTGTGGCGCCGTTGTGACAAGTGCAGTGACAATGTATTTTCAGGGTAGTTAGTTAATAACTTGGGTCATGAATGAAAAGGGCTTAAGAAGCGCTGACTAACACAAAACCACAGTACGGAGGTACCCAATGAGGATCAAACACGCTGTACAATTGAATCGACTTTCAAGACGAGTCTGCTAACCAATGCGCTACAGTAGATGCCTGCTTCTAGGACTATTAATATTTTATTTAAATGCCATGTACCTTCAAGAAGTAGGCGAACACGACTCTCCACATTTTCCTTTGACTTTATTATCTGTGAATTACCATGCAATCTTTGGAATGATAATGGTTTGGTTGCCTGTTTCCTTCTCCACGGATTGGAATTTAAAGATTTCCTTCTCTTAGACTAGTTGCAACACAACGCTAGAGAGCCTGGTCTATTCTGCCAAATAACGCTCACCTGGGGAGATGGGTTCATAAATTTCTAAAACAGCGTTAATGCGAAAATGAAGGCATCAGACTAGCCCCGAATTTGAAATCGGCTCCCCGGTTCCATTTTCCGCACCGATATCCGTGACACTACCTGCACGTCCTACCGATGACCCCAGTTTAGCAACGGAATAATTTTAAGTGACTCTCTGTCAATACATTTTGCAGGATATTTCTTGTAACTAAGATGGTTGCTTTTTTTGTAAAGATGCTATACCGGGGTACGATTCCGATGGTATGAAGGTGTTTCCAGAGATTCTTTGGGATCGACCCATGATACCACAACCTTGGCGTGTACATTACACATTCTCTCAACAGGTAGTTCACTATCTTTTTAAACGTCTTCAGGAGCAACGTAGTGATCTTCAGGGTAAGCCACATCTACCAACAAACACTGATGAAACATTTTAAGATCAGTGTTGTCTCGTTTACAGTGGCGAAGAGTGACTTGGATCGAGGGCATGCAGTCGCGAATATTTTGTCATATACGGCCTACCTGTTGTCAAGCGATAAGAAACTTATTTAAACATGTTTCAAAAAATAAAATAAAAATGTCTACATCCCGTTAAAACAAAAACTGTTAATTTGATGAACTAGATTAATCGAAAATTACTTACTTTTTTGTCCTAAAAAGAAGTGAAAAACAACTTGTTTTGCGAGGTGAGTTTTATTTTGTTACGCAGCTGTTGAAGTTGCAAGTAGCTTGTAGAGTTGCTTACAGACAAAAAATAAGTCACGAAATATTACTAGGCTGTATATGACAAAATATTCGCGACTTCATGCCCTGGATCCAAGTCACCTTTCGAAACTGCTCGTTTGATGTGTTCAGTAACTCTGTCAATCTGAATTGTGATGTTCTACAAGAATTTCACATGCTCATTTTCCAATACCTTCTCAGAAGAAGAGTTTCAGGAGATTCGGAAGTCACCTGGGGGTCATGGTTGAAGCCAATGGCGATTTTATTGAATAAATTTACTCTTTAGTATTTCAATATATTCTTGTGTGATTTTGGTAAACATATCTGTTAAAATGAGTTACTGTTATTTTCATTTTTGCTTAATTTAGACGACAATTTATCCATTGTACCTTATGTGTGTGCGTGTACATGCGTGTGTGAGTGTACGTGTCTGTGTGTGTGTGTGTGTGTGTACGCGTGTGTGTGTGTGTATGTTTTACATAGAGAAAGAAAGACCGTGAAGAAATAACCATTCTAAGCTGTGCGATCAGTTATCTTTCGTTCTTTCTGATCTTCTGAAAATTGATGGGAAGATAAGACGGCATCTAATTTATTTCCAGGAAACCTGTAAGATTTGAAGATTTCTGTTACGTTGAAATATATATTTTATCATTATATCTTTTTTTTTTATAGATATGCCAAACAATCAGCTACCAGTCCTGGAAATCGATGGCAAGTATAAACTTCCACAGAGTTTGACCATAGCCCGATATGTGGCACGGTTGTATGGTAAGTAGAATACACTATCTGATATCTATCATTATAGTTTACAATTATTATCATTACCTTCAAATCATAGCTTATTAGCTGTTGCAGAACACAGTTGCCGAATTGAAATGTTCAACGAATATCTTGATTATTAACATTACCAACTAAAATCTAAAACATTTAAGTTCGCCAAGAAGTATTAATTTTTGTAACTTTGCGATATAATTCTTGCGATCAAAGTTACAAAAATGGTTGAAGGGATTTTCCTCATTTTATTTGATAGTGAATTTTTGCTTTAAAACGTATAGAAATTAGTATCAAGTATATGATGATTTTTCTAAGCGAAGCTTAAATGTGGCAAAAGCCCAAAAACCCCAGTGGGGATCGAACTCACTACTTAGTCAAAAATGATCTAGTGAAGCAAGCTTGCTAACCATTGCACCAGGTCGAAGGGCCCAAATGATTTTCTAAGAGTAGCTTAATTATGACACAAGGCCGATAGATTGGGGTACCCATTGAGAATAGAACATACTACTCCGTCTTAATTGATTTCGTAAGACAAGCTTGTTAGCCGATGCACCACGTCGAAGTATCCAAATGATTTTCTAAGCGTGGTATAACCACATCGAGGTGCCACTTTTCTAAGCGGGGCTTAGATGTAACACAAGGCCGAAAGTATGAAGCAACCATGTGAGGATCGAATTCATTACTCAGCCGTAATTGATTTAACGAGAGAAGCTTGCTAACCATCACATCAAGTCGAAGTGCCCAAATGATTTTCTAAGCGGAGCTTGAACATGGCACCATGCCGAAAGTGTGGAGTACCCTGTAAAGATCGAATTCATTACTCAGTCGTAACTGATCTAGCGAGGCAAGCTTGCTAGCCATTACACAACGTCAAAGTGTCCAAAAATCTGGAGGATATGGTTGACGAGGTAAAACTTCGACACTCCTTGCAATCGGACATTATGGTGGAGCAAAAGTGGTTCCCTTCGACTCACTAATTACTTACCTTATTCTTATACAATTTTCTTAGACAAACATACAGTGACTATAATAAACTAAGGTGCTAAAGAATTAGACAGCTGCATAAAAACAAGTGGATGTGCGGGTGGTGTAAAGTCTCAATGCTCAGAAAGAGAAATCGGGGAGCCGAGTTCAAATTCCAGTCGAGTTTGTTACATTCACTTTCGCGCAAATACTCTAGGAAAATGTATGAATCCATATTTCGTCCCCCCCATCTATGGACTAAATAGTAAAACATACTTGGCTCATCAGTCTTAGTTAGCAACCACTCTAGGAGAAGGTCAACTTTGAGTTTTAAAACTTGCTGGACATAGGGTTATCAACTCCATCTCTTGAAACAACTACTTGCTGTGGAAACGTGTTGAGCGCAGCCACATATTCCATACGTGGAACGTACGGGACTTGAAAGAGGCATAACATGTAGGCTATCTCTTCAGCTGAATAACGGCGGTTACTCAACGTCGCACGACGTTTGCGAGTCGTTGCGTGGCTTTATCAATGGTTTTCCGTAACTGAATTGTTGTTTTGGATGTGATTTCAGGATATTTAGTGAGTTCTGTAACAATGTAGGATGAGGGTGCTAAAGAATTAGAGACAGCTACGTTATAATATGTAGATGTGCGGTGATCTAACGGTTAGCATCTCGGGATGAAAAATCAGCAGGCCGAGTTCGAATTCCAGTTAAGATTATTATATTCACTTTTACACAAATAACCTTGCGAAAGGTTTGGATTTATTTCTTCTTTTGTTAAATGGTAGGGCATAATATGCTCTTCAACCTTGGCTGACAACTAATCTTTGTAGAAGTACAATTCTTAATTAAAAAACGTTTGGGCATGGGGCTACCAACTCCATGCCTTGAAAAACCTACTTGCTACGGAAACTGCAGTAGTAAGGCCTGGCGTGTTATGATCTGTGGTCCTTTATTTCACAGGTGGAGTTTACGAAATATTTAGAGAGACATGACGCCATGTAGATCCACCTTTCGCCTCAATAACGTCTGCTATGCAACGTGATGAAATCTACGAGGTCTTGGCGTTTTTCCGTGTGTTTTTCAATCGTTTTCTAGTGTCTTTAGGGTCTGGATGCAGGGATTTTTAGTGTGGGAATGTTTCATAGATGCACAATGAGCTTTAAATCTGGTGTTTGGCGAAACCAGTGGAGTATCTAGAAGACTTATGAATGTTCATGATACCAGTTTTAGTGTCACCTGTGCACGATATAGTTTTGCATTATCTTAGCATAACTTTCAACAGCAACAAACATGACAAGGATAAAGATCTATGTATGTTTAATTTGTCAGGACAGATTGCAGTTTCACTTGTAATTCTTGCAAGCTGCAATAGAACTCACGGCACGCAATTACAGTGCCATCTTACTCTAGTTCAAAATGATGAACCTAATACTCATCTTCGATTAGGAATCATTCACGAAAACCAGCCAGATCTGCTTTAAATAATCTCAGGTTTTTGCGTGATTGGGATCAGCCTGGTGCGCTTTTGATCAGGTGTCAGAAGACGTGACACCCACCGAACAGAAACCTTCGTCATGCCAAGTTCGTTGTTCAGATTATTCTCAACTCTCTTACAGGATATGCTAATAGCATTGGCTATTTGAATTATAGTAAACTATTTGAATTATAGTAAAATGTTTCAAGCGATATTCTGGTTCATTGAGTAAGTAATCCTGGCTGCAGTTGTTTCGAAAACTACATTTCAAACATGTCGTAAAAAAATAAACATATAACATCTCCCCTTCTCGCTTTTAACCACCAAGCACAATAAAATAAAGGTTTTTTTCAGCGCTAAAGCTGAATTAGTCAAATAAAGATTCAGATAAGAGTTGTAACTATATTACAAAACAATTAATATCCTTGCACTTTTCTGATGAAAACTGTATTGAAAATTTAGTTTAATAGAAACCGTTCCTGTTATTTCGATCAATATCAATGCCGTTCAGAATTCACTTCATTTAATCTACGGGGGGAGATGTTTTCGTTTTCGTGCCAATTTCTTGGAATATCTCGCATGTTCTCACTTCTAGGGTAAGAAAACCCACAACATTTGCGATAATATCACTGACTTCCAGAAAGTTCTACTCATAACTTTTTTTTCTCTCAGTGTCGACATTTTTAAATTCAAGGTGTCGTTCACTAAATGATATTTAAACTCCAGTTGTCAGCAACAGGCATAAATATTGCCATCTTATGAAAATATATAGAACCTGAGTCTGTTACCAAGGCGAGAAAAATTAAAAACCTTAAACAGACAGAAAACGTTGCACGAACGTGGCTGCCAAATGAGTAAAAAGTAAGAAAATGAATTTAAGAAGTAGTTTTATGTTTATTTTTTGCTTTAATTATATACACAACCCACAAAAATAATATTTTTAACTGTTTTGAATTATAAGTAAAAAGGAAAATTAAATAAATATCAGATTCCTCAATTTGATACTTTTTTTAGCAGAATGACAGTCCTTGACGCAATCAATTTAGTTGGGCATCCTTTACACCAAATTGTCACTATTTTTCATCTCTTTTCTCTTCGAGAAGTATCTCTGCAGACTTAGCACTGTGATCGGATTTTTCTTCCAGATTCATTTGCAGCCAAATACTCTACGAAAGGACGTAACTTCATGAATTCCAATAATTTTTCTCGTCAGAGTCCATTTTGCACATTTACAAATTTACCATTTGACCATGCATTGAATACTGCTACCTGATATCTGGTCTGGTGCTTCTGCTGTTCATCTAGAGGTTCTTGACATAATCCAAAGAAGGATCTGTAATGTAATCGATTCTGACTTGGTATCTCGACTTCAGTCATTTTCTCATCGACGTGGTGTGGCTTCCTTCTGTCTTTGCTACAAATATTTTCATGGCTATTGCTCTGACAAGGATTTTTTCTTGGTGCCACGCCTACATGAATTTAAGCGTGCTACTAGATTGCTATGCAGGTTCAACCCGTTTATTGTCGAAATAGTTAAATGCAACCGCCACTTCTACTCCAAAAGTTTCTTTTCTCGTAGTTCCCGCCCTGTAGAACGCCATTCCATTTACTTGCTTCCCTGATAAATAAAATAGCCATTTTCTGTCTTCTTGAATCCCGTTCATCTTTTGTCCTTTCCTCAATCCTCCCTATTCTTAGTCTTTGCACTCACTTTCACTCACTGCAACTCCATTGCTTACTCGTGATTTTCCCGCCTTGCTTGGGGTGAAATGATTAAAAAATAAAAATAATAATAATAATAATGACTTCATGAATTCTAGAGTTAATTATACTCGAGTCATGAGAGGTTTGGTTTGTTTTGTTTTACGGAATATCGATCTCAATGAGTTATTTAATGCCAACAAGTTTTTATTGCTGGTAATATTTTTTTTCAAAAATGTATTGCTGGTAAAAAAAACTTTTCTTCAAAAATTCATTGCTGGTAATAATTTTTTACAAAGTATTTCTGATATTAAAACCTATTTTTACACTTTCATAGTCTTTTGACCCTGGTTTGGGGGCTAACTATTTACCCATATCTGGGACCCTAACAGGTGCTACCACTCCGGGTCAGGGTCAGGCTGGGCCTGAGAACACCAGCAATTAAGAGGTGGTTCCACGCTACTTAAAATCTTCCAATCAGAGGTCTTGCTGCCGGACGTAGTTTATCGTCTTACCTAGGACACGGATGTACTTTATCGTCATAGCCAGGACGGAGAGTCATGAGTGAATGATGCTTGTATCGTTGGAAAAAGTTTCAAATCAACAATTGATGCCAGTTGATCCCCAATGAAACATCAACTGATGATGCCTGCTGTTTAAGTGTTAAACTGCACAGTTTTCAGTACAACATATCTATCTAAAGACCAGTCAGTGTGTGACGTCATTGTTCTCGTCAGCTCCTGCCGTTAAATAAATTTCTCGCGAGATATCTCTTGATTTATTTTTATTTTTTTCCAAGTAGCTAAAATTACTGCCTCTGTTTCAGTCATAAACTTGGTCTCGTAA